AAAAAAAAAAAAAGAAAAGAAAAAACTTGATAACAAAGGCTGAAATAATTGCACAGAGACGCAATCACTTCCACTGAGAGTGTATATAAACTAATTAAAGGAGGCTGTCCATTAGAGTGGGAGTTTCCTGGTATTACACAAAACTTATATGGCATCCTCATATTCATTTTTTACACATCTTGGACCCCATCATAGATTTCACAAACATGTTTGCAGGTAAGGACCATTTGCCCACAAGGTTTAGAACAGGAGAAATATAGACTCCAATGGAGACTTGTGTTAAGTTAATACAATCAGTGAATTGGGGTAGAGGGCAGAGGGTATGGGGGTGGTGGGAAAGACTCTGATGGCAGATTTTCAAAGTGGCACCGATTCCCACCAGCATCAATTGGAAAGACTCACAAGCAGCAGGTGTAAGGCAGCAGGGATCTCTTCACTAATAAATACGTAGGAGGTTTGCTGACCATTCTCCCATGGTTATCTCAGAGAAAGAGCAGCTACCCAACCTGTCTGGGATCCTCCAAATAAAGCTCTTTCAATTAACTGGCGTGAGGTTACAGAGATTAGATGACCCATGGCCACTGCTGCCAAAAGGCGCCTACTGGAAAAGAGAGGCCCAGGATCTTGGTGACAACCCAGCCTTCCCTTAGGAGGGCCACAGAACACAGAACAGTGGGTGACTGAGCCTCTGGTGGCACTGTCCCTGAAACACGGGCAGTGGCGGCAGGACCTTGCCAGCTGCCCAGGGCTGGAGTGGAGTGGTTCTTCGTTGTCCCCATTCTAGGATGTCAAAGTGTCACCAGATAAACCATCCTGGATCCTGAATGTTTTCAGCATCCACTAACTCATACACATCATCCCTGACTTTCTGGTGTTCAAGTTCTAAAGAGGGAAGCCAATTTTTAATAAACTCCCCCAAATACCAAGAGGCTATGCCCTCTCCCTGCATGTAGGATTCCAAAGTAAATTTCAATCCTGTACTACATTAGCAAGTAGGACTTCTCTTGCTAAAGAAGACAAAAAAAGCACAATTTAATCCTGAAGGGGCATCCCACTCCATAAAGGGAGGGATGGCACAGGAGGGGCTGATTTACCTGCCCCTAAAAATCAGCCTGAGGCCAATGGGCACATATGCTTCTTGATCCTCACTTGCTTGCTTTACTAACCAGACTTGAGTTCGATCACCCTAGACATTTTTTGTCACCTGTTTTCTCAATCTCTCTTTCCAGAATTCTCTCTGTCTCTCTCTGTCATCTGGCGTAAGTCCATAGCCTAGAGAAAAAAATAAAAAGAAAAGAAGTTAAGAGGGAACAATGTCTCGGGGCGCCTGGGTGGCTCAGTCAGTTAAGTATCCAACTTCTGCTCAGGTCATGATCTTGTGGTTTGTGAGTTTGAGCCATGTGTCAGGCTCTGTGCTGACAGCTCAGAGCCTGGACCCTGCTTCAGATTCTGTGTCTCCCTCTCTCTCTGCCCCTCCCCTGCTCACAATCTGTCTCTCTCTCTCTCTCAAAAATAAATAAACATTAAAAAAAAAATTTTTTTAAAAGAGGGAGCAATGTGTGTAATCTCAAGAAAAGGAGCTTTAAACAAACGTTCTCTGCTGCTCCCACCAAGGAGCGTGAACCAAGCCTGGGCAGTGCCGTCTGAGAGGTCCCCCACCACTTATCTCCAGCCTAGGTGGATCCAGGAGCTAAATGAAAGCTGGGGTTGCACAGAACCTGGGGCCTACCCGCACTCAAAAGCACACCAGTGCACATGAGCATATAATCTAGGTTATTTTACAATCATTCATGCTGTTTCCCTGCATCATGCATGTAGACACTTAAGAGTCAAGTAGGGGGGCACCTGGCTGGCTCAGTCAATGGAGCATTTGACTCTTGATCTTGGAGTTGTGAGTTCAAGCCCCACATTGGGTGTAGAGAATACTTTAAAAAATAAAATCTTGCAGATAAAACAGAGTCAAGGAGGTAGAACTGTAAGACTGACCATTTGCCCTGAGCCCAGGGAGACTAAGAAGAATCAGAGCTCACATTACCAAGTCCAAACAGTCCTCCAAATCCTCCTATAATTACAGGCATTACTGTCAAAACAGGATCCAGGCATATTGTCTTTTTTTAACATTTTACTCACTAAGAAGCAAGCTAAGGACAACAGCAGTATTTGAATTAATACCTTAAATTCTACCTTCCCCAGGTAAACAAAGACTATAATGTAAGGGGCAATCCCACTAAGCAGCTTGGCAGGGAGTCCAATCTTACCTCCCTTTTTGGCAGGGAGGGGGTGGGGAGGGAGCTTCTGAAATACACCACCTTCCCACCTACAGTGAATAGCATCCCATTGTTACATAAGGAAATACAAAAATAGTAAGACAATTGGACATTCCAATTCTACCTTTTTACCAACATTTTAAAAAGACATTATTATAAATAAAATGAAACCCAGAACCCTATCTAACTGGGAACCCTCTTTGGTCAGCTCTTTTTTCCCTCTGTAAAACGGAGATTGAAAGTTGCTCCCCTACGTGTACTACCTGCCTCAGTAAGATATGTTCTGCTGACTTCTAAAATTTCCTCAATTCGGTGATGGAAAATTGTATGTCTGATTCAATTAAAGAACTATTTGCTCGATAGTTATTATCTATTATCGTCTGGTCGGAGATTCTACTCTAACTTTCCTTGGGAGGATTGTCCATAATGGTAATATAATCAACCCCTGGGGTAATACTCCCTGATCCTCAGTCTGTTTTTGCACCTGTGGTTTGCCTTTTGTCAGAGGTGGGCGTGCAAACAGGCAGGTGGGGGGAGGAAGGTGTGAGAAAGGGGTGATAATGAAATGACTTGTTTCTCATGTGAATGGGAGGAGTCCTTTATTCCACCTCCTGAAAAACTCCTTTAAAAGCGATGGCTGCCGCCGGACAACCACAGAACAGGTTCATTAGCAGAAAGCCAGCATGGCCAACAAGTCGAAATTTATTGACTACATTGATGAAGCTCTGGAAAAATCAAAAGAAACTGCACTTTCTCGCTTGTTTTTCACCCATCAGGGGATTCCGTACCCCATCACCATGTGCACTTCAGAAACTTTCCAGGCCTTGGACAACTTTGAAGCCAGAAGCAATGACATAGTGCTTGCATCTTATCCAAAGTGTGGTAAATAACAAGTCATTTTCTACAAGGGCGCTTTTTCATAAGGAGTAGGTTGGGCAGGGTGCAAGGCAAAGGTGGGAGGAAGGCGGTTCCTCTCCGCATGAAGCTGGCCAGAAGTCAGGGAGGAGGACGACCAAGATGGTTAAGAACATAGCTTGTGAAATCAATAACCAGAACTGCTAGATTTAGAAATCCTGGGGTCTGAGGGAAGGATGATGGATGCAAAAAGGGAGTCATGGTGGGGCTAGCAACCAGAAAGAGAAATGCAAGAAAGTCCATTTGCCATCGGCCACTGAGAGCAGGAAAGATTTTCATCTTGGTTTTTGACTGAGGAGCATGGCCATGTCTATAATGTATATGATGATTTCCATGTAATTATTTTTCAGGATCAAACATCATCAATCCTCCAGCTTCTCAAACCAGTGTTACAATGGTCATTCATCAATGGAGGATAAATTAAGAATCTGTGGGGCACCGGGGTGACATAGTCAGGCATCTGACTCTTGATTTCAGATCAGGTCATGATCTCATGGTTCGTGGGGTCGAGCCCTGCATGGGGCTCAGCGCTGTCAGCACAGAGCCTGCTTGGGATTCTTTCTCTCCCTTTCTCTCTGCCCCTCCCCCATGAGCGCTCTCTCTCTCTCTCTCTCTCTCCCCCTCTCTCTTTCCCTCTCAAAATAAATAAATACATTTAAAAAAAACAGAATCAGGGGCGCCTGGGTGGCTCAGTCGGTTGGGTGGCCGACTTCGGCTCAGGTCATGATCTCATGGTCCGTGAGTTCGAGCCCCGCATCGGGCTCTGTGCTGACAGCTCAGAGCCTGGAGCCTGTTTCAGATTCTGTGTCTCCCTCTCTCTGACCCTCCCCCGTTCATGCTCTGTCTCTCTCTGTCTCAAAAATAAATAAACAATAAAAAAAAACAGAATCTAAATCCCTATTTTACACAATCTGATTTTTTAAACTTATTTCATCTCTAAGTGTTTACTAAAGTCATCTTTATTTGATATTTTTCTATTATTTGATGCTGAGTTTTTATAAATTCAAAATTATATATACTTTTTTAGAAAATATTCACTGGGGCACCTGGGTGGCTCAGTCAGTTAAGCGTCTGACTTTGACTCAGGTCATGATCATACAGTTCGTGGGTTCGAGCCCCGCATCAGGGCTCTGCACTGACAGCTCAGAACCTGGAGCCTGCTTCATATTCTGTGTCTCCCACTCTCTCTGCCCCCCTGCCCCCTGCTTAGGCTCTGTCTGTCTGTCTGTCTCCCAAAAATAAACATTAAAAAATTTTTTTCAAAGAAAATGTTTACTAATGTAAGGTACAATAATATGTGATATATAATAAACAATCATTTCTATAACATAACATTGTTCTATAAGGAAAATATTGTAGATTTAAGAAGAATTGCCTCTTGTTAAAAGAGAAATCTGAAAAATAAGGTAACCTGAATTTATACTAATGTAAGTACGTTCTATTTTCCACAAAACTCTATTTCTTTCCATAGCCCAGTTTATTTCAAATGCAGAAGAACCAATTGTACATACCACAGAGTGGCTATAGATTTTAATTTTTATGATGTATATGCACAAGTAACATGCCTTTGCTATACCAAGGTTCTTTTAATGAGCTTTGATTCTCTGATTTCTCTTATAGGTTCAAATTGGATTCTACATATCATTAGTGAGTTAATATTTGCTGAATCTAACAAAAAGTATGAATATCCAGAATTTCCAATTCTTGAATGTGGGGACCCAGAAAAATATCAGGTTAGTACAAAACAGCCTTTAAACTTATAGTAAATTATCATAGAAAGACTTCTTCCATTTGGGGGATTTTTTTAGTTTTGGGTTCAGAAAGTACTAATACTAATAATCATTGCAACTTATTTTGTGCGTACCCTCTAAGCCCTGCACCTTTCAAGGATTATCTCATTTCAGGGCAAAAAAACCTCATCACCGTTTCTCAAAAGATCAAACCGTCAGAGACTTGCCCAAGGTCAACGGGCTTATAAACGTCAGGGCCAAGATTTGAACCCAAATTGTCCAATTGGAGCTTCTTAACCTCTGCACAATATAGACAGCCTACTTATTAAAGAGAACTAGGAGGGAAAGTAAGCCGAGAAACCTGAAGAAAAAAATTAAAATGAGGGGCACCTGGCTGGCTTAGTCAGTAAAGCATGCTACTCTTGATCTTGGGGTTGTACGATCAAGCCCCATGTTGGGTGTAGAGATTACTTAAAAAAATAAGATCTCTTTAAAAAAATTAAAACCATAAAAACTTTCTCTCTGAAGACAGAAACTTGGTGGGATGGCAAGAGAAGGGTTCCTCTAAGGCCTGAATCATCCTACCTTCAGTTTATGTCAGCACCCCCCAGTCTTTTCCTAATAAGACACTATCTTTGGTGTCCCTGTATCAGTGATGTCTCTGGTGTGTGGGGGGATGGGAAAGGGTAGTAGCTGAGAGAGTAAGCCACTGTGCATAAAGGTTCTTTTCTTTTTTTAATTTTTATTTTTGAGGGAGACAGAGAGGGACAGAGTGCAAGCAGGGGAGGTGCAGAGTGAGAGAAGGAGACAGAATCTGAAGCAGGCTCCAGGCTCTGAGCTGTCAGCACAGAGCCTGACGCGGGGCTAGAACTCACAAGCTATGAGATCATGACCTGAGCCGAAGTCAGACGCTTCACCAACTGAGCCACACAGGCACCCTAAAGTTCTTCTTCTTTTTTTTTTATGTTTATTTATTTATTTTCAGGGAGAGAGAGAGAGAGAGAGAGAGCATGCATGAGCAAGGAAAGGCCAGAGGGAAATAGAGAGAGAACACCAAGCGGGCTTCATGCTATCAGCGCAGAGCCCGATGCAGGGCTCGATCTCACAAACTGTGAGATCATGACCTGACCCAAAATGAAGAGTTGGACACTTAACCGATTGAGCCACCCAGGTGCCCCCTTACCTGTTCTAATTCACTTTACTACACGTTATTGCTCCCACTACCAATATAACCAGGTGAGGCTTGGGTGTGAGACAGAAAGTTCTGTTCCCAGGCAGGAAAGGCAAGGATAGGGAGGGAGGAAGGATCTGCCTCAAGACTTCAGTGCCTGGACAGGACAGGTGGGAGGAGGGCCAGCCCCAGCCCCGCCAGAAACGCATTTGGGGGCGGGGGGGGGGGACTACAGTCTCAGCAAAACTTTCAGAGATGCTTACCGCCAGGACTCCCAACAAGCACACAGAAGAACTCATTTACTGAGAATTAAGTCACTGGATCGGGACTGATGAAGGGGTTTCTGGAAAACGACAGAGACATATGGCATGATGACAGATACAAACTGAAAAGTTGGATCCTAGGGGGAAGGAAGCCCATTTCCATGGATTGGGTTAAAGTAACAGAAAAACACAGGCAGATAAGGTATTCAGGGACTTGGGGCTGGGCTGGAGTGCGGAGCTAAGCGTGCATCCTGGATCTGGTGGGCTGCAACGTCAGGAGGAAGCAGAGGCCTAGCAGCCACAGCAGGGCCCAGAGGTGGGAGGTCAGGACCAGTTCAGGATGTGGAGACAGGAGTTTTAAGAAACTTTCCTAGGTAGAGATGAACGGGCTAATGAAAAGCCCATTGATTTTTCCTCTCCAGGCCACTGCATAACCTTTTATCTAAAGAGGGTGTGTATCATCACCTTTAAAATTTATGCTAACATTTCTCTAGCTTTCCAACTTTTTTTAAAAGTAATTTTTATTTAAAATTTCTTCATTTTTGAGAGACAGAGTGAGACAGAGCATGACTGGGGAGGGGCAGAGAGAGAGAGAGAGGGAGACACAGAATCCGAAGCAGGCTCCAGGCTCTGAGCTGTCAGCACAGAGCCGGATGCAGGGATTGAACTCACGAATTCGAACTTGTGAGATCATGACCTGAGCCAAAGTCAGACACTTAACCGGCTGAGCCACCCAGGTGCCCCTCCAACTTTTTTTAAAGTAAACTCTACATCCGAATTGGGACTCAGATTCACGATCTGGAGATGAAGAGTTACATGCTCTGACTGAGCCAGCCAGGCGCCCCTCCAACTCCCCTTTTATTTATAATTTTTAAAATTTATTTATTTACTTTGAGAGAGAGAGGGAGAGTGCATGAGCAGGGGAGGGGCAGAGAGAGAGGGAGACGGAGAATCCCAAGCAGGCTCCGTGCCTCAGCACAGAGCCCCATGAGGGGCTCAGACCCACAAACTGTGAGATCTTGACCTGAGCCAAAACCAAGAGTCGGATGCTCAACAGACTGAGCTACCCAGGTGCCCCATGTGAGCTCTTGATCTCCGGGTTGTGGGTTTGAGCCCCACATTGGGCATAGAGATACTTACAAAAATAAATAAAATTAAATACATGTATTTTCTTAAAATATGTCTATAGCCAGTCTTTACATTGCTTATAGTTTGGCCCCATCACACATTTTCGTTGACACATCAGTTTTGTTACAGTTATTTCCCGTTTTCTCCCTGGATATTTCTTTAATCCTATTAGGAACTTTACCATTTCTCATATGTCTTTTTGTGATTTTTGGCCATGCAGTGCAGTGGAAACTGCATTCTATAACTTAATCTGAAAATTACCATCTGTGCAATTTTGCACAAAGCCCTTAAAACCTCAAAGTCATTTGTTAATCTCTAAAATGGGGGTTATAATATCCACTTGAGGGGATTGCTGTGAATGAATGTAAAAGTGATGTTCAAAACTAAAAATTAGGGAAATTTGATGTAAATCAAGTATTACGACTATTCTCTTCTTTTTTAATGTTTATTTATTTTTGAGAGAGAGAGAGAGAGAGAGAGAGAGAGCAAGCAAGGGAGAGGCAGAGAGAGAAGGACCCAGAGGATCCAAAGCAGGCTCTAGTCTCTGAGCTGTCAGCCCAGAGCCAGATGCAGGGCTCAAACTCACAAACTGTGAGATCATGATCTGAGCTTAACTGACTGAGCCAC